AATAATAATTGCAGAAGGAAAAACCTGCAGATGTTAGGGAAGATATAAAAATCTTTCCCTTTCTATATGATAAATATCGCCATAAAAAATAATTTATTTATATCAAACCTTTTAAAAGTTAAAGCTTCTATGAGAGAAACTTAATAGAGTGTACAATCATTGATACTTAAGGAGGAAATAAAAGAGCATAATAGTTCAATTCTTTTTTTATCATGTTTACATATTATTCAACAGAAATTAATATTTTTGTACAGTTTAGTTAAAATTAATAAATAAAATAGATTTATGAGAAAAATCATAAATGTAGGTATACTTATTTTAAATTTGAGACTGACTTTTAATTTAATCTTTAGTTTTAAATAAATTTTTTAAAAAAAGGTTTAAACCAAAAAACCTTGGTCTATTGTGAATTTTAGTTTTGCTTTCTTTCAATTTTGTATTTTCATATGTTTTAATATTATGTCCTATAAGTTCCTGAAGTTTGAATTAATAAAATACACACAACACACAAATTGTAAAATACAAAAGGTAGTTATTAGAACTAGAAATATTTTTAAAACCTTCTTTTAAAAATCATATTGCTCTTTTATAAAACATTTGCTTTAAAAATGCACTGATTTAATTTTTTTGTGCTGTCGTACAGTTAACATACAAACAAAAAATATACGCACTAAGCTCTCATGAGACATTTTGGCCAAAACCTTAAATTTTTCTTTTTAAAAAAAAGTGATACTTGTTGCTGTAACTAAAATTTTTTATTTATTACAAAAAGGTTCATTTTAAAAATTATATTCCGCTTTTTAGCTAACATAGTTTTTTTAAAAAATATGGAGTATTTCTAAAATTAAATTACAGATTTTTTCCTTTGTATACTTGTTAAAAATGATACAACAAAATGTAAAAATGTTTTACAAAATTCTTTTAAAAAATTTAATTAAAATAAAGAAATTAATATGCATATCTCAAATTTCATCCATTTTTTTAAAAAATTAGGTTTTGAATTTATTATTTTGAAATTTTAAAAATATTGAAAAATGATCAAGGTGGAAAAGATTTTAAAGTATACTTGCTATTCAAAATATGTTGAAAAAAAATCTTATTCAGTTTATAAATTGAGGTTAAATTGAGGTTTTTCTACTACTTGAAAAAAATTATTAACATATTATTTTAGAATGTAACGAAAAATATTAAATTTTTGTTGCCCTAACTCCTTGTAACATTAATAGGTAAAAAAGTACAAAATTGTAAAATATTTCTTTCATATTTCTTTTTCTTTTTTTGGCTCTTTTTTCTTCTAAAAATACATTATCTTGTTTTATGAAACAGGATTGTAAATAATTAATTTTGAAATTTTTTTAAATTTGCTTTTGAATTTTAAAGTGAAAACATTAAGACCTTTAATTAAAATAATAATGTAAGATGGGTTTTATTAATAGTTTCGTATTTTCTATTAGAGCAAAAATTAGAAAGTATAAATAATAACTTTTAAATTAGGTTGGATAAAAGTAATAAATGTTCTGTTATAATATACCATTATGTCTTGAGTAGAGACTTATGTTAACCCTTTCCTTGACAGCTAAACTTCAATTTAGCAAATTGAAAATTTTTAGCCTGGTAGGATATTAGCAAATGTGACCAGTACATTTTTAAGTAACAGTACATTTTTAAGTAGCAGTACATTTTTAAGTAAAATGGCACCCCAGAGCCCAAGGTCAAGAAAACTGAGATGGGCACAGCAGGCCTTGGCCCTCTATGGGCTGTCGCGCCACTGAATTTTGTTTATGGGTGCTGCCTATAGCCTAACTTGGTACGAGTTAAAGCAGCTGAAAGTTCCGTGCAATATGTTAAATATTTTGTCCAACGATTGTATACTTCGTTCGCTTTATCAACTCATCAATGGATGTATTTTAATTTCTTCTTCTCTCGATGGTGAAAAAGTTGTACAACAGATATCAGGAACTAGGTGATCTTCACGGCCTGATGCAGTTCATTGCTTAATTCAAGGCTATGAAAAAATAGAATAGGCTCTTCATTCATTCATTAGCCAATGATGTTGAACAAGATGCAAGCACGAACAGGGAAGCTCACAAACTATGTAAAAAAATGTGCACATTAGAAATAAAAATCTTATGGAGTGAAATTTTTGAAAGGGTAAATAAAACGAGCATATTTCTACAATCATCTGTAGTGAAATTTGAGCACAGCTTCAAAACTTTTTGATTCCTTAAAAGTGCGTTTTCTCTTAAGCTCAGGGATAAATTCATTGATTATGAATCAAGAGACAGAAATAAAATGCCGAATTATAAATTATGATTTTCCCAATTGTGATCAAAACTTTGATTACATAAAAGTGCTTTTTTTTTATCTCAGGGATAAATTCAGTGATTATGAATCAAAATCCAGAAATAAAATACCCAATTGTGATTGTAAATATTTAGCTAAATGAGACACAAGTCTTACAAGTTCTTGAAAAGGAAACCAAGTTCAGTGGAAATGAAAAGTTTAAAGTGGAGTCATTTCTTTCAACCTTAAACGCATTAATAAATAAAATAAGTAAACCTGGAGAAATGTACAAAAGTATTTGGGATCATTTTCAATTTTTAAGTAATCTAATGGACATTGAAGTGAGTGATAAATGCAAAAATTTCGTGAACACTTGATAATATAACAGAGATTTAGATTACGATGATTTATTAAATGAGCGAATTCATTCTAAACATTATTTAAATTCAGATGAAAATAATGGTGAAAATCCTACATTAAATAAAACAATTATCTCTAAAGGCTTAAAATCGACTTTCCACAACATTGAAACAGCCTTAAGAATATTTTTGTGTATGATGAACACAAATCGTACCGAAGAACGGTCGTTTTACCGGCTGAAATTTATATAAAAAAAATCAATTACGCAGTACTATGGTGGCAGCAACGGTTAAACTGGTTATGTCTGACATGCATCGAAAGTGAGGTATTAATGGTTATCAAATTTGATGAAATAATGAAAGAGTTTGGGAATAAAAAAGTTCGCTAAGTTTAAAATAATTTGTTAAAAGTTTATATTTTGACGTTTTACTTTTGTTTATTTAATTATTACGATTGTTATAAAAATGTTTAGTTTTATATTATGTTCTTGAAATTTCCGCAGCTCGATTTTAAGCAATAGGGACACGTTACAGGGGCCAAAAAAAAATTCTGCCCCCCCCCGGGCCCTGCATTGCTATTTAGATAGCCCTGCACAAAACCATTGTCCAAAAACCTAGAATATCAAATTTCTATTTTATGGGATAAAATCATGATTATTGATATCTAAAAACTATATTTTGTCTTGTTTCTAATTCAATCAATCTATTATAATAATTTTCCTCATTAAATACGTTTACATTAAAAAATTTATTTTATCCTCACTTATTTGAATATGTCCTATTTAGATAAGAACTATGCAAAAGTAATTATCAAAATGATTTTAATCAACAAAATCAATACACTTCCATGATTTGGATCACTAGCCGATTTGAATCACAAATTAAATCGAATCACCTACTTATTCCAGTGAGTTGATTCAAAACACTTACTGATTATAATCACTACTTCAATACCAATAAAAATTATTTTATTCCATTTAATTTTAATTTAAAACATTGCTTTGATGCTAAATTGAAGAAAAAAAAACAGTCAGCACTAATTAATTACAAATACTACTACATTAGATATATGAACTGGTTTTCATATGTCGAATGTAACATATATATTTCGTGGGTTAACATATTTATTTTATATATAACAAAATGGAGATTTGATGATTAAAAAATCTATGAGCTTTTCAATGAATAAAACTAAAAACAAAATGGCTTTTTAATTTCAAAACTAGTGATAGTATCCTACTGCTCCATGGAGTATACTCCTTCAAAAACATCCTGATTGTCAAAAATATTAAAAAAATGTCATCGGAATCTTTTTTTTTCTTTAAAAAAAAACAAACAAAAAAAAGAAGAAAAATCTCTATTTTTTTTAATTTTTATTCTTTTTTTATACAACTAAGTAATACATAATGAAAAAAGCAAGTAGAGTAGATAATTCACAAAAATAAAATTCTCATTAGTTTCACTAATACTGAAAATATCTAGTGCAAAATTTTAAATAGCTAATTGATCAATCTGTAATATATTGAGATTATGTATTATGCTATATAGAGATTCAAAACCTAATCACAAAAATTAATTGCATTATTTACAAAAAATTTACAAAGCATTAACTTGTTAGAAATTTTAAATTGGCAAAATAAAATTGGTTCAAAGAAGAAAAAACTTCTTCAAGAAAGAAAAAATACAAATAAATAAAATAGAATAAAAATATCTAAAGAAAAAAACGGTCTTATTTCAGAACACAGTAAAAACAAAGTATTTTTTTGTTTTGAAAGTAATCATTTACTTTACTCGATCTTTTTCTCTACACTACACAATATAAAACAAGTATATATTTTTTTATTTAAATTTTATTTTATTTTTATTCTGCAAACTAGTATTAAACACAGACCTTGACAAAAATTCATTAAAAAAAACCTTAAAAGATTCAGGAAAAAAAAAAATTGACTTATTTTTAAATTAGATATTTTAATTAAGATAGCTTGCTGCAAAGCTTACAATGGGGCTGCACAATTAAAAAAATCTGAGGCAAAGATAAATTTATTATAATTTATGCAGCTATGGAGCAAAAAAATGATAAAAGTGTAATCAGCTAAATTTATTATTGATAAAATATTCGGATGGCCGAGGCTAGTTTATCAATAATTCCTTTAAGCCTGGGGGACATTGAATTTGTTTTGTTGCAAAAATGCATGTTTGTGTGACATATATAAAATTTTTAGGAAACGCAAATAAATGTCTCGAAAATTATTGCAACACACGACTATTCGCAACATGCAGCAACAGTTTCACCGTTATAACTAGGAAGCTGAATTAATAGGACAAACAGGCAGTTTCAATTAATAAAAAGTCACTTACCTCCTTTTCTCTTTGACAATTGAAGGAACGGCAACTTTGCCACCACACATTATGAACTGTCACAAAATGTAATCCAATATAAAGGCGTTTGTTATGATTTAATCACTAAAAAATTAATGAAATTCTTTTACAATTCGTTCACGTGTCTATTTACTGCAAAAAAGACTATAAACAGCAAGTTCAGGAACTTAGTTTTTGACGTCAAATGTTGTCATAATTCCATTTGCTCTGCCCTCTATGAGTAAGAATATAAACTTAAAATAAAACTTTTTTTTAAATTATTTTTTATTATTGCCTTTTTGTATCAGAGTATCAAAGCTTTTAAATTTTTTGAAGCTCAATATGAATAGAATCTTAAAAAAAGATATTTATATTCGAGTTTATAAGTTTTAAAATAGCTGAAATAAAATTGATTGCAAATTAATTGGCACTTGTATATTTATATTACTGTGTTCATGTAAATGAAATAATAATCAACTTCTTAAAATCATTCCTCTTATACTATGAAAAAATTTATGCTCACAATTTATTTATGTTAATCAGTTTATTAATACTTGTTACTTTTCTTTTAAAACATTTTTTCTCATTATAATTTTATGTTCTTTCTTGATAGCTAAGCTTTTCTAGAATAATTGACTCTGAAAATTCCAATGTTCACAAGTACTTTGAAATTGTAGTGGTGCCATCTATATTATTTATTCAATAGTAAACCTACTAAGCATTATTAAGTTATGGTTTAACTTTTTCTTCAACTCATATTTTTTTTTTCCCATTGACCTCTTTAGGGTCCAGAAATGCCAGAAATGTGGGAGCTCTAGCCACAGAACTCTCAGGGCGTCAGGCAGGGCCGTAACTACGCCGGGGCACCGCCCCGGGGCCCCGACGGTCAAGGTTGGCCCCTTATGAAGAGACCACATCATGTTTTTTCAAAATACAGTACTCTAATTATATATATGTAGGAAAGAAATTGTGTTAAGATAGAGTTGCTGAAAATTTTCTTTTTTGTAATTACGTACCGACTACAACATAAAGGAAAGTGTAAAAAACGGTATAACAGCTTTTCGCAAATTATTTCCCTTTCTCATAAGAACAAACACGCTTTGCAGAGAAGGGGAAAAGGCCACAGCTGCATGTATTGATTGTTAACACTTTCTGTACATTGCACTTCTGGTTTACATTGTTTCTACTATCTAGCGTCAGACACAGTGGCGTGCTAACCAGGGGGAGGCAGAGGGCCCCTCTGAAATTTAAGTGATGGGGCAAACGATGCGTTTCGCCCCTCCTGAAATTTAGACACTCACAAAAATAAAGTAAAATCGGTAATTAAAAAAAAAAATTTTTTTCAATTTTGAAGCTATTTTTGAAATAAGAAAGCTTTATATTCCACTAACATTTCTGTGCTTTGCCTCTTCTGATATTTAGTTATTCGCCAAGACGAAGTCCATTAAAATAGATAATTTTAGAGAAGAAGAAAAAAAAACTATTCTTTCTCAGCTTTGAATTTATACATCCAAGTAGGAAACTTTATTTTGTTATGGGCGATTAATGTGTTTTTTGACTTTTGGAAAAGTAAAGTGAAAGTGGAAAAAATATTTTAATTCCAATTTTCACTCTATTTTCTTCCGAAATAGTAATGAGGGAGCGAACATAGTGTTTCGATGGAACCTTAATTGAAAAACTTTCTTTCGGTGGAACTCCAACTTCTCAAATAAAGTGATTAAAGACAATTGCGAATAAAATATTTCATTTAAAAAAAAAAAAACTTTCTTCATCGGTTTATTATAAATAATCTTAAACCAGTTTTTATGTCCGACATTTAAATTCGATGTCACGGATCTTGTCTAAGAGTAATAAATTTGTTTTAACTGAGAATGAATAAAACAAGCAGAAATATGAGATATAACCGCTGAAATTCTTTATTAGGGAAACATTATAAACATATTTTGCCTTCATTTATTAGAAAAATTATTTTTAATAAAATAAAATTTCTTTTTTAACGGCATTTTACTTTAAATAATTTTCAGAGAAAACCGATATATGAAATAAGAATGGATTATTCATTGGATCTAACTCTAATCAAAGGTTGAAACAAATTCCCTCGGAACCCCTTTAACTGTTCCACGTAACCTTAATTCTCCGTGGAACACCATTTGAGAACCGCTCTCCTGAATATGCCACTGTAGTGTATCTACCACTACAAAAATATAATTCCAATTCACTAGTATATGAGACACGTTAACTCGATTGTCTGGTGGGGTGCCGTTTCATAGATGAATGCTGACATTGTCGATAACTACTATCCCCACATTGGTGACCCGGACGTGATATGGTCACGCCTGACTTAACAGAAACTCCCACTTCGATGTGAACAAGCCTACTTAGATGGGTAGTCGACATTGAACAGTTGACTAGCTACTTGTGACTGTGACATTGTCCTTCTCACGCTGTTGCGTCTCAGTCTCGATCACACACAACGTATACACTCGACTGCTAAAGGCAACACAGGAGCGACTGCTACCGTAAACTTAATACAGCTCTCACCTTCAGCACTCATAAAGTAGGGTGATCTTAATCCAGCTCCCCCGGCTTCTCACAAAACAGAAAATGAATCAACTCTGGAGGTCGGGGGACGAAATTTCAAGTATATGGTGTACATAAAAATAAAAATGTATTTTAATAAATAACAAATTAGAAAAATGAAATTTTTCAACACCAAAATTTTTTGATTGTTAGATTGTAAGTTTTTTCAGAAGCATTTTCAATACTTAAATTTTTTTAATGCTTTATCGCAATTCATTCATTTACATGTTTTTCTTAGAAACGAAGACTAAAAAAAAATTGAACATGCTTTTTGAAAGGTGCATGAGATTGCAAGCTGTTGCTGTAGTTCATTTATGTCGCACTAGAGCTGCACAATGGGCTATTGGCGACGGTCTGGGAAATATCCCCGAGGATGATCCGAAGACGTGACATCACCATTTTGATCCTCTACAGAGGGGATGGCACCCCCTCTTCGGTAGCCCGACGACCTGCGCGTGAAGTCGAGCTCTTTACGGTAGAACAGTTTAACGAGGACCAATACCGCACATCCTCGGTTCCTACTCAGTTTGGTCCCGCAGTGGACTGATCGTTAAGACACGGTTCCCAGCAGATCACTGAAGTCAAGCATCACTGGCTACGGTCAGTATGCGGGTGAGTGACCACTTGGATCAGTCTGCGTAGGGTCCGAGGGTGTGCGGTATAGGTCCTCATTAAACTGTGCTACCGTAAAGTGCTCGACTTCGAGCGCAGGTCGTCGGGCTACCGGTGCCATCCCTTCCGCAGAGGATCAAAATTGTGATGGCATGTCTTCGGATCATCCATCGAGATGTTTCCCAGACCGTCGCCAATAGCCCACTGTGCAGCTCCAGTGCGACGTAAATTAACAACAACAACAACCTACTCAGTTTGATCCAAGTGGTCACCCACCCGCACACTGACCGCAGCCAGTGATGCTTGACTTCAATGATCAGCTGGGAACCGTGTCTTAACGATCAGTCCACTGCGGGGCGAGATTGCAAGTTAACAGGACACAATGGGATACGTCCTGGTGGGCGAGTCCATCCCTGCATGTTTTATTTGTCCCACACTGGTAACGATCGTAAGTGACACGCTTCCCAGTAGATCACTGAAGTCTTTGCCCCCGTGTAGTAAATGGTGACTGATGCACGTTAAATCTGTCGAGTCTCAAAGTCCTCCATGTTCCCACAACAAATCAATACCTCTGGGGGTACTGATCCAGGAGTTTCCTTGTCTTCTGGATTGGTTCAAAATTACAAGGCTACGGAGTTGAACGTTAGTAGTCGTAAACCCATGAACTTGGGTCGGCTGTTCAACGACGGTTATAAAATAAAATAAAATTTCTGGCAGCGGTTAGTGAGAGGGAGTGCAACAACTTTGATTAGCCCGTGCAGAGACCGAGGGTGTGCCGTATCGGTCCTCGTCGAACTGTTCTACCGTAAAGTGCTCGACTGCAATAAGCTGAAAAGTATTTTTCCCAACTCTTGGATAATTTAAGTGTTAACAATTCCACTACAGGTATTGAACGTTCTTTTAGCAAAATAAAAGCTATGAAAACCTATTTAAGATCTACAAAGACACAGAAGAGAGTTCTTTAGCAATAATTTCTATCGAAAATGAAAGCGTCGAAAGAATTGATTTTGAAGAGTCTATTTGCTTCTGCTAAAGCACGGAAAAATACATTTTAATGTTCATGTTTATATATTTCTATGTCAGAATTAGGATTTAAAACATTACTTTTAGTATATATTGATATTAGAATATTTGAGGGGATGTTCTCATTCATTAAACTGACGGCTTTCTTTTTTTTAACCTTGAAATCGCTATTTATTTTCATCGTGTGTTTCTTAAATCAAAAATTCAGGGCTGCAATTCAATGCTATAAATAATATTTATAAATTTCTTGTAGTTATAGTGTGATTTAAAATATGAAAAGCAAATTTATGCAGCGTTATGACTACACCAGAGAGAGATTTCAAAGGGTCTTTATTTAAGATAAGTTTTACAAAATTGAGGTTTTCAGTATCGCCCGGGGCGTGAAAATGTCTTTCCCTCCCGGCACTGATAACCCAATGATATGCAAATCCGGCACTGATAACATTTGCAAATATCTTAACAATGATAACATTTACAAATATCTAAAGTAATTCCTTTTAGTCAAATTAAAAATCAACTTTATTTACGCGCAATTACTATTGTTTTATTTGAAATAATTACAGTAAATTTCCCGAATACAATCGGATGGTAAATTTGTACATCAATTAATACGATTGCTTAAAATTTATGGAATTCTCACATTTTTATATGTATAAAAAAATCCTTTCAGTTTTTCCCGTAATAAAATTTTTCCCTGAAAATTATTAATAATTCATCTGACGCGAAACGTGGTTTTCAAAATACAATTGTCCCGTAGTGGACTGATCGTTAAGACACGGTTCCCCACAGACCTCGCCCAAAGTTAAGCTGTCAAGATAAGGATAATTGCTTTCAGGTGCGTTAAAAAGCCCCCCTAGAACGGGCTTGGCTTAATACTTTCTTGGCATGATATAGTTTATTTCTCTTGGCGCTTTTCTTATAACAAGGTTACTATTTCTCCTGGTATGAAGAAGGATTTTTCCTGTCCGCAAGTGTGTAATCGAAGTCTTAGTCATGAGAGGGAAAAGTCTTAGCTATCAGAGGGAAAATTTTCTAAGAATGAAAGAAGCTTGACCTTGACTTACCACCATTTCATGAATAGCTTATCTTGTCTAGCGAAGTGAAATAGATTTATGTAGTGTTTCTGCAATTTTAAATAAACTATAAAATTTCAATTATCAGAACATTTTTTTCTAAGCATTGGAAGTCGTTATTAACAATCGCATTAAATAAATATTTGAAATCTTTAAGAATTTTTTTAATTGTAGTTCAAATCTAATTTTTCATTGAGTACAATTATTACGTCAATTAAATTTAATGAAATCGATCATAATGTTATTACTATTATGATTANTTATTTTGTAAAAAAAATTTTTTAATCGAGTCTTTTAATGTTTATGAGTTTTTTGAATATTACATAGTAAGAAAATTTTAATCATAAAGCATCTTTTATGGTAATATCATGTTACTATTCATAAAGCACCTTTTTATGAACGGTAGCATCTTCACTTGAATTCCATAAATAACTATCATTGTGGTATACTGATTATTTTTTACTATCATTTTGAGGTTTCAAAAAAAAAATAAAAAAGCAAATGCTACAGTTTGATTATTCCCAGCATTTTCAATCGGATAATGCAATGCAGTATGCCCTTCAAATTTAAGTATAAAAAATGCACGAAGACACACGATATGTATAGATAATCTTCAAAAAGTTAGCATCGGAGTACCCACCCCCCTTGTCATTTGAACGGTACCCATAAAAAAACACTCGGAAATGTCGTGTAATGTTTTAACTCAAATCCCTAAAAATCCCTTGCGCATCCGAAAAATTCCGCAAGTTTCACTCTCCCACTAAAAGAAGAATTAATCAACTATGTCTCTCAAAACGGAGGGAAATCGGTTTTCCATTTGAGACCCTTTATCGTCATTGGCATCATAAAGATTTGGCGAGTAATCAACTACGGGAACAGATGCGGTTTTTCAATAGAGCTCCTCCGCCCACCTCATCAATCATTCAGGTAGGGGAGAAACTTTTAGGCGAGATCTATAAGACAGCTTCCCAGCAGATCACCGAAGTCAAGCATCACTGGCTACGGTCAGTGTGCGGGTGGGTGACTACTTGGATCAGTCTGCGTAGGAACCGAGGGTGTGCGGTATTGGTTCTCGTTAAACTGTGCTACCGTAAAGTGCTCGACTTCAAGCGCAGGTCGTCGGTCTACCGAAGCGGGGGTGCCATCCCCTCCGCAGAGGATCAAAATTGCGATGGCATGTCTTCGGATCATCCTCAGGGATGTTTCCCAGACCGTCGCCAATAGCCCATTGTGCAGCTCTAGTGCGACGTAAATTAACAACAACAAATCAAAATACAATTTTTGAAAAAATAATTTTTAAAAGAAGGGATTTTGAGGAAAGTGAGATAAAATACATAAAAGCTAACTAAAAAATAAACATTAAATAACATAAAATGTATTGAAATAAACAGAGGTCTTTTCCTAAAACATAATTTTGTTTAAAAAACAAGTAATATAAAAGAAGAAAAAAATAAAGTCCTTTCCTACTCAGGTGAACAAAGAAAAATGTTATTTTAGTTACTTTTTATTAAATGATTATAATTTTTTGTCCCATATAAAACTAAAATTAAATAATTTATTTGAATTTGGAGTAGATGAATAAAAAGTATTTTATTAACGATTGAAAATTTGAACAAACTATATAAATATATATAGGGAGAGTGTGAACTAATAGTAGGAATAGCTAAAAAAAATGGCGCTTGGTATGAGACAACCGCAAAAGTATAAATTGGGTGACGTGGACCACACGTGCTACCACATAATGTTTTTTTTATTGAATTTTTGGCGAGATAGGTTGAATGCATTATATTCTGCATTTTAGATAGGGACCAAAGATAAAAAAAAAAGAAGAAGAAGAGAGAAATGCGAAATTTAAACATAACTTTAATAACATATTAACATAAAAAAAACTTCTAGAATTATATTCAAACACGTAGAACCAAAGAATAGACGTAAAGCAAATCACAAAAAGAGAAAAGAAGAAAGTTTTACAATGGTGTATCACATTTAATTCCTTGAAATTCAGGAAGAAGATTACAAAAATACATCGATGGTACTTTGAAGTTTACAGGTTCGCCAGATCATGAACTTCGGTAGCGGTACTTGAACCTAGTACGCTGATTACACCACAGAAACTCCCCCTCCCAATACCGGAGGTACGGAACTAGAGAATTCTAAATTTTACACGTCTACCACTTCCGGTGAACACATGAGGTTGAGATTCGGATTTTGAAGAATTCAAAGGAATGGAAGTTTCCAAAAAGGCAGTCTTGAGACTATCTATACTCACTGTAGCTATGCGGGATCCGATTTTTAAAGTGAAATGCTTACCTTGTCGAGAGAGTGCCTGGATTGACTTATCTAAAATGCAGAATATAATGCACGCAACCTATCTCGCCAAACATTTATCTCTGACACAGTGAGTATAAGATAATTAAATATTTAAATGTGCGCAATAAACCATTTTTTTGTTGCTGTTCAAATAGAGCTATAAATTTAGAAATTATCACTGGTGTTATTTTTAAAATATGTGAAAAACTGTTAGGGGCCTCCCTGGCCGAGCGGTATCGCCCGCCAAACGCTCTGTAAGGTGTGGAGGTGTCGGGTTCGAATCCCACCGTAACCCTGTATGTATTCTTTGTGATGCCCTTCTCTGTATTGTGCTATCTGTCCTTCTACTTAACTTTGACAGTGACGTATTATCGGTGTGTAGTGTATCTACCGCTACAGAAAATACAATTCCAATTCACTAGTATATAAGACATGTTAACTCGATTCTATGTTGGGGTACCTATACATAGATGACGGTTGACATTGTCGATAACTACTATCCCCCCATTGGTGACCCGAACGTGATGTGAACATGCCTACCTTGACAGAAACTCCTACTTCGATATGAACACGCCTACCTTGGCAGAAACGCCCACTAAGAAACGCCCACGCGTACTTCGATGGATGGTTCACTTTGAACAGTTCACTTGTTACATGTGACTGCGACATTATCCTCCTCCTTGCGCTGTTGATACTCAGTCTCGATCACGCACAACGTATTCACCGACTGCTAAAGGCAACAAAGAAGCGATCGTGAACGGCTCTCACAAACAATTAGTTTATTTAATATCTAGGAAGAAATAAAAAATTAGGGCTTTGCTTCAACAAAAAAAATAATCATTTTTTAGCTTTAATGCAGGGATGGGGAAACTACGGCCCGCGGGCCAACTGTGGCCCGCCGGAGGATTTTATCCGGCCCGCGGATAGAATTTTTATTTGCCAATCAGCGGCAAATATAAACAATATACATCCATTTTATTGTCGACTATGTTTAAAATTATTTCTGTTTTTCCTTTTTTAACAAAGTACTGATGACATTTTTACTTTCTCTATTTTTGTTCTACAAAACATAAATTNTGAGGTTGAGATTCGGATTTTGAAGAATTCAAAGGAATGGAAGTTTCCAAAAAGGCAGTCTTAAGACGATCTACACGCATTGTAGCTGTGCGGGATCCGATTTTTAAAGTGAAATGCTTACCTGGTCGAGAGAGTGCCTGGATTGACTTATCTAAAATGCACAATATAATGCACGCAACCTATCTCGCCAAACATTTATCTGACACAGTGAATATAAAATAATTAAATATTTAAATGTGTGCAATAAACTATTTTTTTGTTGTTGCTCAAATAGAGCTTATAAGTTTAGAAATTATCACTGGTGTGACCCAAACGTGATATGAACACGCCTACCTTGGCAGAAGCGCCCACTAAGATTTGAACACGCGTACTTCGATGGATGGTTCACTTTGAACAGTTCACTTGCTACATGTGACTGCGACATTATCCTCCTCCTTGCGCTGTTGATACTCAGTCTCGATCACGCACAACGTATTCACTTGACTGCTAAAGGCAACAAAGAAGCGATCGTGAACGTCTCTCACAAACAGTTAGTTTATTTAATATCTAGGAAGAAATAAAAAATTAGGGCTTTGCTTCAAAAAAAAAAATCATTTTTTAGCTTTAATGAATAGTTAAAAATAAGAGAGGAGGTAAATTTAAAGGAGTGACTTTTCCTTAATACGTTTCTGTTTAATTTTGGTGCATATTGAAATTCCAAAATAAAAGATGTTCGTGTCTGTCCAGATTAATAATGGAAAAAGTGAATCTAATGGATGATCAATACTTGTGCGCATGCGTCGCAGTTGCAGCCTGAGGAGTGTTTTCTCCTCCATTTTGCTCTTCCCACTCAAACAATGTGGTTTCTCCTTGTCTTTATCACAGCTCTTGATAGAGCATCATCCAAAGGTAATCATTTATTTCATGATTCCATTCTCTTTTCGCAACATCTTCTCGGAAACGTTAAAACTTTTAAAAGTATAATGTATTTATTTTTTGGGTGTAATTAATTTGAAGAAAATATCTTGTATTATGATTCATTACTTCTTTGTAAAAAAAAAAAAAAAAGTTCGAAATTTTTTTTTCCCGATATTTTTTTTATTTTAGTAAATAGGGTGCTGTCAGTAAACCTTAATTTTATGTCAATAGAAAAACCTAAGCATCTACACTGTTATCAGCTGAAGGTACAAAAATTATAATTCAAAATAAATCCGTGATGAGGCTTTTCAAGAGCGTTAAAGATTGACAATATTATATATATATTACATGTATACATATGACAATATTATAATTATATGAAATTCTGTTCAAGGGAAAGGGATTTAAATAGTGATTGTATTAAATTATGATTTAAAATTGAAAGAAAAAATTTTAAACGTTCATTTTGAGTAAAATGAATTCATTAAACAAATGTGAAAAATTAGCAAGCGTAAATTAGAGTAAGATAAGAGTAGTGAAGCATTTGACATATTAAAGAAAAATCATATCGTGATCCAATAATTAAACGCACTATGCTCGAAATTAACGGTTGCCACCGGCCACAGGATGAATAAATAAAGCAAATGACGATTAAAAAATTGCCTGCCACCGAATTGCCATTTTTTTCGTCAAAAATACTCACAATGTTCATTTTGTTATTATTATTTTTTTAATAAATATGGAATTGTTATGCATATTTTATAATATTCTGAGAATTATTTTATTTCATGGTTAAATTTTCTCACTTTTTTAAAAATCGACCTTGTAATTTTTGAGAAATACTTATGAAATGATAACATTACTGATATCAACAGTTTAAAAAAGGGATCACATGTTTTGAAAAGTGGCCACTGTTAAAATCGCTACAACTATTGTAATGTATTATTACCATTGGCTTGTAGCAAGATTTCGTCCTACAAGACCTCTATAATAATGCATTCTAAATTCGACCACTCGTTAAATCAGAATTTCAGGTTTGTCAAGAAAAAAAAAGGAAAAAACTAACGTGAATTGTTTCATTTTGTTTCATTTATTAGTGAATTGTTTCATTTTAATTACTTATTGCAACATCTTTTTTTGTTCTGCTTTATCTTACGATTTCAACTTTTTTTCTGATATTTTAAACAAATGAATAAAAGACACGCTTTTAGGAAAATGTTTCTTATTCTGAAATAACAATATTCAAACTTACTTTTCAGTAGGCAGATTTTTAAATAATATACGATTTAAGGCATTTGTGTACAGTGAAATTCCCTACTAATACAAACTTTCGTTCATTAAATTTCGTTAAATATGGTATATGGTTAGAAGAGGTTAAAATGTATTAATAAAAAAGTAAAAAAACGTCCCTTTTTTTTTCATTGCCAATACATTTTGAGCTTGCTAATAAATATTTAGTTTGTTGGTCTAAAAAAAAATATCGTGACACTTTGTGCAATTGTGTTTCTTAGTGTAGCTGTGAATTTGGTAGTAATATCATTCAATTTTTTCACAGCCTTAAACACAAAATTCGTCGTTTATCCAAAGTATTCAAAGTGTTGCACAAATTTAGACGGCTACTGTAAGTTGTTTACTATCTCTACTCTCTGTGTGTTCTTCTTTTCATAATCCCTTAATGGGCCACCCCTAAATGATGTCACACCACTGACCCCCTTCCATTTTTTCACAAAATGTCACCCCCTTGAACATATTACGCTCTATTTTATGCTTGCATGTTATGCTGTTCAGTAAAAATTAAAATATGTCATACAGCTTATTTCAAATTTTATTTTTAAACTTTAATAAAATTTTTTAAATGTCATCTGAGAACAAAATAATTATTATTTACATGCTCAGTTTGATGTTGAAAATGAAAAATAATATGTAGATGCAATATATATGAAATTTCATATAATCTGAGTTTTTAAAATATTTTTTATTTTAACCGCTCAGGTTACTCCCCTCCTTGTCACAAACCTTTCTCCTTTCTTCCAAACGTGACATCATTTACGGACGGTCCTTTCACGGGGTGTTCTGTATTGACTGCTCTAAATATATAATTTTAAAATTCTTGTCCAATAGGATGGCAATATATACACTTTACGGGTCGTCATTGAATGTGAAGAGAGAGAAAACAAGAGCGCTATCAAATCCTAACGAATCAAAAGTGGTGAAGGCATAGATATAAAAACTGGTTTGAGTGCCGGAGAAACTTTTCCACCGTCAGGCAATCTTAGGGTCATTTTCACGCACCTCCGGTCGCATGGAGACCTGATTGGTGGAATCGCGCGTTAAACTCATTAATCTTGCACGATGACGCTCGGAAGGGCGTGAAAATTTTTCATTTTCTTGCAAGAAACTACAGTTTCTTTTTTTTAATCTTATTAGATTTTTGACAAGGATTCTAAAAATATAAATGAAGGGTGCACTCTATATTGTGTCTTCTGAGAATGCATGCTCAACGAAATAGCTGCCTCCTTAAGTGAAAAAAAAAGAAGAATAAAAATAGCAAAAATAGAGCAGAAACCAAATGTTAGAATGCAAACTCGGTGCAGAAGAAAAGTGTCCATACTACTTTGTATGTATCTTGTCTCCGGAAAGGATTGAATCAACTACCAGAATAGACTGAATAGAATAATAAGGCGTCCTAGAAGATCAGATTCGTTTTTGAGATGACGTCATCAAACGCCTATTTCTGTCAATAGGTCGGCTTATTTCAGTCCGATTTCATTTCAGATTCCTAATACTCTTTCGGTGGCAGCACTCTTAATAATCTTTTATTTTGTGATGGCAACACTTTCACACTGTATTTATATAATTGCGTACATACACATACACATGTAACCCACACATACACATACACATGCCTGCATGCACATGTAACAATAAATAAATAAAATAGAGCACCGATATAGGTTGAGAAATTAATATAAATCATCGAGAGAATCGGAATAATACTATGTTATAGGATCTAAATGCAAAATATTAGCACTCCTTCCTTTTTCCCCTCTAATTCACGACCCCATTGACTGCTGGGATTGTTGTAATGCTTCCTTCTATATTATCACTGAATGTTTTCCTTTCCTTTCATGATCTTTGTCTTCAATTTTTAAATAATTCGTCAAGATTCTAGAAGCTCCAAGGGCTCCTCCTCTCTTTGACAAATTGTTCCGGGAACCAAGAACATTTTGGAAATTTCTTCGTAAAATAACTTCCGAATAATGAAGTGAATTTTCTATTTAACGAACTTTGCCTTGAGATCCATTTTCCCTATTTCACAAAATATTTCAGAACATTTCCAACTTGTTAGCACATTTTATGGGGGAAATGACTTTGCATTGATTTTCGCAACCACTTAACTTTTAGAGAAAGCAGTAATATCCCTTTCTCTTTTTGCTTGTATTTCGTACAGGAATCCATACCAAAAATTAATTTACGAGAAAGCATAACAGACATTTCTAAGGCATGGAACTATAATGTTACTACTAATGACTGGATTCTTAGTCAGCGTGGAGAATTTGAAAAGTGTGGAGTACAAGGATGATATTCCTGTAGAAGAATGTGGGTACATCTAAGAGAGAGAACCGCGAAATTAACGATAATATTCTGATTATGGATATTCTTTTTATTGATTTTAAGGTTGCAACCACAGAAACATTAACTGAATCGGATATGTAAGACAGTGTGAGTGTGAAAAAGAAAAACAATGCAGCAATAAATTGTGAGGAACACAAAGAAGATGAAGACAAAAATGATGAGGAAATCACCAAACCATATGATGAAACGTTGAAATCATTTGAAACAAATTCGATAGTCGATAATAATTTACAAGATCTATTTTAATTATGTCCAGTGTTTATGAATTTAAATTTTGTTTTGTGTTCCTCAAGTATTTCGAACGGCGACTTTCTATTTCATGAATTTTCCAAATAATGAACTTTTTATCGGAATTTGCGACTTCGTTAAATAGAGATCTTGCTGTATTTATATCTGGCATCTCATTTCTAAATTTAGATTACAGAATGCTAGAATTCATTTCTTCCTTTAAGGGAATAGGAAATCCCTTAAAGCAGTTCAATATTATCTAATATGTGCGTTGAATTTGGTTATCCCTCTCTATCTCTTAAAATGATGAAATGATGGATTATTTTTTTACTCGTCAAGACTAGCCGAGCAGAGCATATTATTGTGTCATCGAAAATCTTCAAAAGAGAGAACACAACAAACAACAATCAGTGTGAACAATGATACTGCCGCTATATTTACAAATTTTTTTTTCTTCTCTGGTGTTGGTCATAAATGTATTTTTTGACTTCAAGAAGTTTCATAATTTTTTTAAAGCATTTTTCGCTATTTTACAAAACATAAAATACTTCTGACAGACTAATATTAAATATTTATCTATAGGTTATTTACAACAATCAATATATCCATAAAGTTATTTTTTAAGCATTTTTGCTCACACTATTTTATAAACCATAAAATAAATTAAATAAGGAATTTCCTCGGACAGTTTCATTAGTGTGACTATTATTAAAAATTTATTCATTGATTATTTACTCAAAAAATTACGAAAGCATTGTGATTTGATGCAGTTTCTTGCTGGGAACTAAGCATGACGTGGAACAGCATTCTTTTTTAAAATTGATTTATTATAAAAATTTAATTCTATATAGGTTGTTATAGAACTACGATTTTAACACTATTTTTTTTAAAAAATATTTATTTGCTATAGAACTACGATTTTAACACTATTTATTTTTAAATATTTATTTTAGAATTCTTGACAAAAATAGCATATAAAAAGGAAATACACAAGTGATCTTAACGTAATATTTTTTAAAAAGAAAATTATTAAAAATTGGCAAACAGCAAATGTAGCATAAAAACAATCGAAAGCAATTCCTTTTTACGAAGATTGAAAAGTGTTCTTTTTTTTTGTTGTTGGAAACCTTTATTCAGTTTCTTGCAATAATTAAATTTTATTTTAATTTCTCATTTGCGCTCTGATGAATTATGATAATCTTTCATCTAATTTTAATCACCTTTCTTTTTAATCTTAATTAAATATTTAACTTTCGACACAAATTTTAAAACTGATTGAGAGGGGTGTTTTTGGAACAACCTGTGTTGGGTGTTTCTAGTGGAACAGTTGGAGCTCGATTGTTCGTTAACAAATAATTCAGTTATGAAATAAAACTAAGGAAATTTAACATAACATCTTGAAGTGATCTTTGATTGAGGTATAATCTAATTTATGGTTTGAGAGAGCCTAAATTTATTCTTAATTCCCTTCTGGTAGGCAATTCTTCATGGAATAAAAATATACACAGAACTTTTTAATATTATGTAGTGATATACTTTTTAATATTATATAGTGATATACTTTTCAGTGAATTATGTACAGTGCGCAAAAAAATACGCTGAATTACCCTAAATAACTTTTGAATCAAATAATTCACGTTTTACAGCTCAATCTTAATGGTTCGAGGGAGTTCTCTCAAATATGCTACTAATTAGCGCAGACGATATTTTAAGTTACGAAATCAGACACAAAAATAACTTTTTTCTCTGAATAAATATACCTTTTTTTCCGACGGATTTCTGACCCCAAAATATAGGAGCAATCTGGGAAATATGGTCCCAATATTACTTGGTCAGAGGAGCAGTCGGAAAGTTTGGACTCCTTAATGTTAATATTACTTTTTGCGTATTGCCGCAATATCTCGAGAACTTTTTAAGCGAATTTAAAACTTTTTGTACACTATAAATTAAAAAATTCGTTTATCCAAAAATAATTCCATGCAAAATATAATTTTTATCAAATATTTATTATTTTATTTAATATTAGCCAAAAAATAAAATTTTGAAATGTAAGGTACACAAATTTTTACATAATTTCAAAAAATGCCATTTTAAATGAAAAATACAAAATTTACACGAAATCGGTCGAATATATCCTGAGAAATCTAATTTTGAAAAAATCGTAATTTTAAAATTCAATTCGTCAGGAAATATTCGATTGATTTCACTCAAATTTTATATTCGCAATGTAAAATTAAATTCTTTAAAATGATGCAAAAAAGATTTTATACCTCACAATTCAAAATTTTTGCGACTATTGTTAAATTAAATAATACTAAAAGTTTTATTTTGCATGGAATTATCTCTAAACAAACGAATTAATAATTTAGTGTAAATTGTTTTCAATTCTTCTTAAAAGTTCTCGAGATATGACGAAATTCGCAAAGAGTAAAATTAAGATTAAGGGGTCCAACTTTGGACCGCTCTCCTGATCAAACTATTGGAACCATATTTCACAGATTGCAGTTTCCTCCTATATTTTGGTAGTAAGAAACCTGAATCCATCGAAAAAAAAGTTAAGTTTATTCAGAGAAAGTACGTTTTGTGTCTGATCTCTTAAATTAAATATCGTCTGATATCTATTTGAGATCTCCCCCTCGAACGATTAAGATTGAGTCTTAGAATGTGAAGATCCGATCATTAAATCAAAAAATATCCACAGTAGTCCATTTTTTATTTTGCGCTCTGTACACTGAATCTTTTCATAGGAAAGAATATCTTGAACTTAAAATTTTTTTATTTTTTGATACATAGAAAATTCCAGATTTGTCTTATAAAATTGCATTCATACATATAGACATTTTAACTCACGAATTCAAATGCCACATTTATCAAAGAATTTTATTTTAAGAATTTATTACATTAAATTAAGAATTAAAATGTTCTTTCTATTTAAGAATTAAAATGATTTAATTAAGAACTAATTTTTTTATTATCTATAAATGGAATCTATCTATACACGTGCGTGTTCTGATTTTTATTGAAAATTATCCATAAAATTAAATATAGGTGAAACTGTATGCAAAACTATTTGCTGACGAATATTATTAACAGGGTTGGCAAGTTTTTAACACCTGACGGTTTATACCATGGTTTTTACCGTCATGTCAAAAACCCCTTTGTCAAAAACGTCGAAAACTGTCAAAAACCCATAGTTTTGATAAAACTGTATTTTAATTTGAGTTTAACTGCTTATTATTTAAAATTAATTCATTTTTGGGCAATAAAATTAGAAAAAAAGTTGTTAAAGAATATTTAAGAACAGATTTTTGCACTTTCCCAACATGATTATATCAAATCATACTATTTGAAGTAAAATATTGGGATGCTAAAAAATTTTTTAAACATTTCCAAGCATCATTTTGTTTGGCATATTACATTACTGAAAAGTGTCAAGTCATTCCTGACGTAGAGTTTGTCAGTAGTTACAAGTTTTGAAAGTTTTGTTTAGCTTATTTCTAATATTTAAGGAATGCCAAATTTTAAATTCTTCTTTCTAGTTCCTGAATTTATTAATAGTTCCAAGTTTGTTTGTTTGTTTGTTTATTTCTAACAATTGAGAAGTGCAAAATTTCGAATCCTTTGCAAATCAAGCTACTATAATGATAAAAGTTAAGTATCACTATTTTCGATTAGTATGTTACAATATTTTCGTATGAATGTATATCCTTCTATAAGAATACTTGTATATAGTTGCAAAATCAATAGCAATCATTTACAATATTCATTTATAAAGGCAATTAAGTGAAAATAATATATTGTCCACTATATGCCGTAAATTAAAGAAAACAGTAGGTTTTTGACGGTTTTTACCACTGTCGTGTCAAAAACCAGTTTTTTACGGCAAAAACCCAACCCTGATTATTAACCATTTATTTTTGTTGAGTGTTTTTAGATATGCTATATGATTATATATAAATAAATGACATTTTTTTCTGGTCTAAATTAATTCAACTGACAAATAGGGTTTGCATATGGGTGGGCTTGAATGGAGCTGAAATAACTGAATATATTGGCTTAGATAGAAATAACTATGGTTATACAGTCAAACCCTGCTATAATGAACGCGGTTTATAGTGAACGAAATGTTCGCTCCCATGTCTTGCTATATACATATAATATCATTTTTTGTGGATATAGTGAACCAAAAGATGAGAGGAAATTGGTTATTGTGAACTTTTTTCTGCCTTCGACTGATTTTTTCCTTCTTCATTTTTTTTGGTCACTTTGAAATTTCTACATAAAATACATATACCCATTTTTAAAACCATCTATTGAGCAGAATATAGCCATAAGCATTTTTTCTTGTTTGCTACTTCTATCTCAATTTCCCATCCGTAAATGTTTTGTACGCAAGACGTAGAGTCATAAAAAATAAAAGTGAACCCATTTTTGTGACTACATATTGCTTTTTAATCATTTTTGTATTTCCTTTTTTTTTGGTCATCTATTTAAATAATGTGTCATAAAAGGGAGCAGTTCGGAAAAATGAGTTAAAATTGTTTGCAGTACGAATATAGTGAAGTTCCGGTTATAGTGAACCGAAATTTCGGTCCCTTGAAAGTTCGCTATAGCGGCGTTTGACTGTATTTATATTATCGTTATGAAGACTTTGAGTCTTTACTTATAGAGTGAGCCCTTCAACGTAATTACGAGATAGCCTGGTCGGTAGGGCGCTGGGCCCATATCCAAGAGGTCGTGGGTTCGATCCTCGCCGGCCGAAGACTCCCCGTGTAGTAAATGGTGACTGATGCACGTTAAATCTGTCGAGTCTCAAAGTCCTCCATGTTCCCACAACAAATCAATATCTCTGGGGGTACTGATCCAGGAGTTTCCTTGTCTTCTGGATTGGTTCAAAATTACAAGGCTACGGAGTTGAACGTAAGTAGTCGTAAACCCATGAAATTGGGTCGGCTGTTCAACGACGGTTATAAAATAAAAACAAATCACACGCAAGAATGTAGTCATGTAGCTTTAATTTTGATTTTTAAAGAAGATTAAAAAATAAATAAAAAAACGTTGTGATCGCCATTACGCATTAAATTACGGCATACATCACATTACGTATTACGATCACTGGTTACCCATTGGCCAAGTGCTTTGTGTTTCTGAATTGTCCCCGTTAAACGTCACACCATTCATGGGTTGCAAAAACTGTCTCCAGTGATGTTGGTCTTCGGATTGATCCTGCCCTATGTACGTGTTTCAAAATACTTTTTCTTCCTCAGCATTCATATTTATATTATAATCACCGTCAAGAAAGTAATTATACGTTAATAATAAAATATATAAAAATAGTTTAAATTATTATTATGTAAATACATTAAAAATGCCTGCTAGTGAAAAGAAAAAGAGCAGCGGTCGCCTTAGCAACGCATGCGCACTGTTTACTATTACTCTTGAGCACAGTTTAAAAGTGTGTGGACGCCATCAAATCCAAAACAAGACCAACAGAGCCAGATTAACCATTAGGCCATGACCTGGGGCCCCCAATGATTAGGGGCCCCTTAAAATGGATTTTTTGAAAATAAATTTTAAAAAATTAAGAAAAATAATGATTTTTTTTAAAAAAAAATCAATTTTAAATATATATTAATGAAATACGATTATTTTTTTATATAATGTTAATCATATTTATTTATTACTTATTAAAATTTAATTCATTATTATTTATTTTAATTTTAAATATGCTTTCTTAAATGAAAAGATAAATACTTTTATATTTGAATAAATAAAAAATATGCAAGAAAAAAAATTTAATCTAAGGGTCCCAAAATTTTGGAATGGCCTAGGGCCCCGCTTGCGTTTAATCCGGCTCTGACCAAGACCCAATTTTGCCAATGGGTCTCTATATGGGTCTCTGATAAAACTTTGCACAAAACAAAACTGTAAAGTTTTGGTCAAGATGTTTTTCTACTGTGGTCAAAACTTTTGAACTCTGAAACTTACAGAAGAAATTCTTTTTTTCTTTCACCGAATTTAATTTAAAATATTTACAGTAATAATTCTTTTCTTAATTGAAATGAAGGCATTTTAATTAAAAGATATGGCAAGACTCTGTTTAACGTCATATTTATGTAGTTGTTCTTTCTTGTTTTTATTAGCTCCCACCTCTTCATGTAGTCAAGAAATCAACAGCACAATATTTAAAAATGGAACATTTACGAGTCCCAATTATCCCGAACCTTATCCACCCAACATATACTGCGTCTATAAATTCATCGGAAAAGCAAAAGAACGACTCCAGATAAGTTTCACTGACTTCGATCTCTACCTGCCCCCCAACCCTGACGAACCTCCAAAAGAGTGAGTACCTCAAGATTATTGTGTTTTAAATGGATGATTTTATTTAAGAAATGATGACACCATTTTTTAAAAGCATTAAGCAAAAGAAGAATTTTATTTTTAATGAAAGTAATGCTGACAAAAATAATCAATATATATATATATATATATGTTACCGTTAAAGTATATAATGCAGTTATTTCATAGAATACCTAGTTATTCCATGAAATAACTGATCGTGTCCGTTAAAGTGTGTAATATGTTATTAATTTGACACTTTAACTAGTTACTCTATGAAATAACTAGGTATTCTATAAATTAACTAATGAGAGACAGTTAAAGTGTAAAATAAACAATTTATCTAAAATGAAATAACTAGGTATTCTATAAATAAACTAATGATAGACAATTAAAATTAAAAAGAAACAATTTATCTAATTTATGCAGCGTATAAATGTTATTTATGGAAACGAACCATAAAATCATTTGTTACAACAAGGATTACTAGAATGACACTTGGAATTACAAAGAACATTATTTCTAAAACAAAAACTTTTTTTGTTGACACACTGGGTTTTACGCGAACATTTTTTAAATCCCTGACCACTACCTAAACTTTTAACTGTAGCATATAGATTATTTTACACTTTAACGGGTTGCAGATCGTTATTCTATGAAATAACTAGTTAAACCATGAAATACAAGAGAGTTTTACACTTTAACGGACACGATCAGTTATTTCATGTAATAACTAGGTATTCTATAAAATAACGGATTTCATACTTTAACGGTAACATATGTATATATATTATATCTAAGCATATTTTATTTTTATAACCTAATTTAACTATTAACTATTCCTAATTAAAAATTGTTAGTATCTGTACATTTTTGTATCAGTTCATACAAAAAAGTACAAACGCTAACATGGCACATGGCTCCGTTGCCAAAAGTAGCAAATAAAAATCATTTAACTGTTTTAATGGTTGAGATGTTTTAAAAATCGTTTGGGTTTTTCTTTTATCGTGCACGCCCTCAGTTTCTTTTTACTTATTAATTTTTTTAAAGAAAGCTGAGGCATTTGCATCAGCAACTCTTGTTATTTGAATTTTATTATAACTGGTGCAAATTGTTCTGCATGCGAGTCCAACTTGTATAAAACCATGATTTCAGAGTTGCTTAAGAGTTTGTTTTCTCACACGTGCGAATGGGAGGGGGGGGGGGTAAGNGGGGGGGGGGGGGGTAAGCACTGTAAAGAGAACACAGTAAAAAAATAGTCCCCAGGAAGAAAAAAAAAAGCCGAACCCGTAATGCAAAACCCAGCTCAAAAATACGAATTTGTTTAAAAAAAAAAGTTTATTAATATGTAAAAATTGGTTTGTAGTTTGCGGAAAAAACTTCAAAATCTTTTTTTAAATTAAATTATTATAAATTTTAAGAAATTCAATAATCTTCTTAATTCCAATAATTTCACCTAACCAATTGTATTATAGTGTGCAAATAAAATTTAAAAAATTGTCTCAAAATAGAAATAGTTTTATTCATAATTTTTAACTTGACCCCTTTCAGAAATTACTGTTACATTAATTGTTGATACATTAAGTATGATAACACTATTATAGAAATAAAATTTTTTAAATCAGTTGTGAAATTTGTGTAGTTTTACGTACAAAGTAGTGATATTGTGTGTAATAAATGAGTGATGATATTCTGCTTTTAACTTACTGCGTCAAGCTTAAAAAGGATTTTTTCGATGTTATTTTTTCCTGATTTTTTTTCTTCGCGTTGTTAGTTTTGTTTTCTGAAAATTATGCCATTTAAAATATTACTTATAGTCATCAAACAAGAGATTTGCATTGTGTTCATACTTATAAGATTGTTGTTATTTAAATAAAATAAAAGTTTTGTATCTATATTTTGTGCTAGCTGGAATAGGGAGGATGTCCCCATAAGCTTTTGTGGGGATGGTTAGCTGGTAAACGGCCTAATAAATTTGTCATTAAATCAATTTGATTACAACATATTAAAGAAGATTGCTATGTTCCCACATTGAAAACTGCACATTTTATAATATGCTACTTGGTGGTCCGGGCTAGCCTGTTTGGTAAGGCACGGGCCCATGTCCAAGAGTTCGTGGGTTCAATGCCCGCCTACCGAAGACTCCCCGTGTGGTAAATGGTGACTGATGCAAGGTTAAATCTGTCGGGTCACAAAGTCCTCCATGATACCATAACAAATCAATACCCCTTTGGGTACTGAAATTGTGATTGAAAGATTGTAAGCTGCATCATACACCCGTTTCGGATTCCCTAGTTCATACATGAAATATGATTTGAATGCTAGGCTTTTTTTTCAATTTTACACGAATAGTGAATGAATCATTTATAATGCGTGGAAGACAGTCTACGGTGCAAGTTATTGGGTACGTTGACAATAAATCCTTTTATCCCTAACTGGTGATCAACACACAATTCTCATATTTGCATGAAAGGGATTCGGAGAGTCACAATTCGCTCTTCGGTAGGGTTTAATTCTCTCAACCACTTTGGTACTATTGTGAGGGACGGGCTTCATGCTTGCGTTTGCGGACGGAATCCTTTTTGTTTTTCCGTTTGTGTGATAAGGTAACTTCTGATCCAGGAGTTACCTTGTCTTCTAGATTGGTTCACAATTACAAGGTTATAAATGTGCTACATGATGGCTCAGAGGATAGAGCGTTTGCTTTCCAATGAGGCGAACCGTGTTCGAATCCCAGCAATAGCTGGTCGATACGAATTCCGCATCCGGTTTGCACCGACCACAGTGCTGGCGTAAAATATCCTTAATGCTGGATAGATCATGGGTTAGAGTCCCCTTGCCGTCAGGCTAACAGTGGGAAGTCTTCCTGTCCATGTAACGCTTATGCTGGTTAGTTCCATCAAAAAGTCCTCCACGAAAAGCAAATTTCTTCCAATACTTGATTCAAGAGTTCCCTCGTCCTCTGATACAGGCTCAAAATTACAAGGCTATGGAGTTGAACATTAGTAGTCGTAAACCCAAAATACGATCGACTGTTCAATGAAATAAAATAAAATAATTTTTTTCGAAATGTCTTCTTTTAATAGAGTTTGGTGCTGCATTTCAGTGCCGAAAGCATACCAAGTATTTTCGTTTGATTGATAATTCTCTAGTTCGGGTAATTTCCTAATTTTAATGATTTCTTATGACATATTTACTGTAATAAAAACAACGGAAAACTGATTTCAACTTAATATTATAATTTTGCTCTGCATAATATTCAATTTTTCAGTTTCTACATTCATTTATAGTTTTGGCACCCTAAATAGTAATTATTATATCTACATCTTTACACTTTTTAGAAATTGTTCATTTTTATGGTGATAATAAATACACATATCAAATTTATTTATAATTAAAGCTTTAATAAATCTTTCAATGTTATTTCTTTGTGTAAATTCTCTTTTTATAACTCATTATTCAAAACGCTCTCAAAGTTCACATCCGGTGATTTAATTCTAATTCTTCACACTTTTCACAAAATATTCTAACCTATCAGAATCGTCCCCTGTTAGACACGTGATTACTTGAGATATTTAAAATCCCTCAAGTAAAAACAGCATTCACCAGAAGAATCATCGGCACGCATAATGTTTTTTTTACCTTTAATGAAGCATGTATATATAAAAAGCAACACAATTTTAAGGATTCAATTCATTATGAACTGTTCTATGGTTATGTATTGCAATTTTTTCAACAAGTCTGACTAACTCATTTCAAATGGTAAAATACAAATATTTAAGTTATATCATATTTCAATTTTAAAAAAAGTTAGTTTTGAATTGAGGCAATTTTTTACCCTCAATTTTCACAACTATGTTGAAACATTTATCTATGAGGATATTTTCTGTAACGAAAACGTACAATTCGGTTATTTTTCCTTTAGTGTGAAAATGCATNTTGCGAAGCAAACCATATAAGATTGCGTAGCAATTTTCGGGGGTTGGCGAGCGTTAGAGAGCAGGGGGCACAGCCCACTAGTATATATATAAAAAGCAACACAATTTTAAGGGTTCAATTCATTATGAACTGTTCTATGGCTATGTATTGCAATTTTTTCAACAAGTCTGGCTAACTCATTTCAAATGGTAAAATACAAATATTTAAGTTATATCATATTTCAATTTTAAAAAAAGTTAGTTTTGAATTGAGGCAATTTTTTACCCTCAATTTTCACAACTATGTTGAAACATTTATCTATGAGGATATTTTCTGTAACGAAAACGTACAATTCGGTTATTTTTCCTTTAGTGTGAAAATGCATTTTTATTAAAAAAAAAATTATTTTGTTAAATTTTTTTTTCTTTCTTTAAGAAGAAATGTGTTGTCATTTTATATTATAACCGTCATTGGACAACCGACCCCATTCTGGTTTTACGATTACTAATGCTCAACTCCGTAACCTTGCATTTTTTGAACTCAACCCAGAAGACAAGTGAACTCCTGGATGAGTACCCAAAGTGGTATTGATTTGTTATGGAAACGTGGAGGACTTTGTGACCCAGACAGATTTAACGCGCACTAGTCACCATTTAATACACGGGGATTTTTCGGCTAACTGGATTCGAACTCCCGCTCTCTTGAATGCGAGTCCAACTCCCTACCAACCAGACTATCACGGTCCTTAATGTGTTGTCATTTTATCTCTTATTTTATATTCGTCGTTGAACAGCCTACCCAATTTTAGGTTTACGACCACTAATGTTCTACTCCGTAGCCTTGTAATTTTGAACACAACCCAGAAGACATGGAAACTCTTGTATCTCCAGAGGTATAATTTGTTATAAGAACACGGAGGGCTTTGTGACCCGACATATTTAACGTGCATCCGTCACCATTTACTACAAGGGGAGCCTTCAACTGGCGGGTATCGAGCCCACGACCTCTTGGACAAGGGTCCAGTGCCCTACCAACCAGGTTATCCCGGCCTAATGTGTTGTCATTGGAGACTACGAAGATTTGTTTTTCCTTTAACGATAAAAAAAAATGAAATCGAGTAGCATAATAAGCGCTGATTTTTGGCAGTCGGATGCCCCAAATGTGTTTTCGCTAAAGAAAAATCCCATAAGAAAGATTTTGTTTCCAGCTGACTCTATTTTACAGTTATCGTTACTCTCAATAATCAACCTGAAAGTAAGATTATTAATTTTTCAGTTGTGAGGCTGTGGATGCGGTGATGATTTTCATAACGATCCGCGGTCGCCGAGAGAGGCTGAATAACTTCTGCGGAAACAAGCTTCCGGCTCAGTTAATGTCTAACGGACCCACAATGGAACTAGAATTTAGATCCTATCATTTCACCTCTCAAGTAAAAGGTTTCAGATCCATCTACCGTTTTGTTACAGGTAAGAACACTTTTGAGAACAGTTATGGTATGCAGTGTGAATTCTGTAAGAATCAATTCAAACCCCTTTAATTTAATCTAAATATTTAGTTTTTTTCCCCGTATATTTTAAGAATGTCTCTAGAATTGGGAAAGAAATCCACATAAATTTTAAATTTTCCGATTTTATGAAGAACCAATTTAAAATAGTTTTGCAAACTTGGCGAGATACCTGAATACATATCTAATTATTTAAGAGTTGAATATCTAGTTATTTAACTTCGTTTAGTATCTGTCAACTACATAATTTGTATTTAGGCATGAAAATAACCAATGAGCCAAGCCGAATAGTGGAAAGAAAATGAATGTTTAGTAACATTTTGGGGATGGCTACTACAACAATTGCAAAATGAGTTTTCTTCTCTGGTGAATAAAATATTTGGTCTATGAGAAACAATTAAAAACTTATTGTGAGACTACTTTGGTTTGTCTTAACGTGGTGAATGCAGCTTAGTTGCAGTGGAATCTAATTTTAAAAAAAATCCCAATAGAACTCATCTGTAATAGGAAAATTGGAAATTTCGCTTCTTAAAATAACTATTGTACTAGCCATTTCCAAAATGTTAAATACATATTAGTTTAATTGAAATTTATCTAATATCTATTATCAATCAATATCTAGTATCAATTTAATACATATTTTTTTAAAAACATTATGTTAAAAACTAAAAAAAGTATAATATTTTTATTACAAATTTCGTTACTTTTTTGGCTTGGTTAGCCGGGAGCAAAAAAATGCTACGATTTTTTTTCATTTATTTTATTTAATAATTTATGAACATCTATTTTGTTAAGTGTTTAAGAAAATAATAAAAATAAAATTCAGATTATACTTTTATTAGAAATATTATGTTAAAATACTAAGCTTTTTACCATTCGACTAAAGTGTGTTTAATCATGTGGAAGGTGCAGCAAATACTACACTAAATAGACACAGATTAGAAACTGATGCTATATGGTTAGTCATTTATCACAGTTATGAATTTGTATTACTATAAATAAATTGATTGGGTTTATAAACGACACTCTAGCCTTATATTGTTTACTTAATTTTGCCTGACTTTATGATAAAATATATCTTTGTAAATTAAAAGAATTTGATGCTTACTCTACATACAAAATTAACCAAATTTGAAAAAAAAAGAAAAAAAGAAAACATTATTGATTTAGGAAAATTAACTTAATATGAAAAATCTTCCTTTCAATCTGAAGAATTTGTTTCATCAGTACTTTTTATTTTGCACTTCCAAATCGCTCAAATATATTTTTTTGTTTTGTTTATAAATTAGGAATTATTTGTGAAAACTCTTTTTTTTTTGATTAATGGCGGTCACTTGGGTCTATTTCCCATTTTCCTCAGAAATGCCAGAATTGCTACTCTCTTATCGTTACCCAGTGAGTACCTATGGCTAAGCCACGGCGGTGGAGCAGTGTCGCCCACGTCATACAACCACAAACCCGTTTATAGGGCGGGTTACATTCACACAGAAGAAAGGACATGGAACACAGAGAGAGAGAGAAAAAGAAACATCCATGCCCTGAGCGGGATTCGAACCCGCAACCATTCGCTCCGCAGTCAGTCGCGCTAACCACTCTGTCATCTGGTCGGCTGTGAAAACTTAATTTTTAGATAAAATTTTTGTCAAAGAATTTTAAATTAATAAACTTGTTTCGCAAAATCAAATGATCAAATATTATGAATTTATTTATACTCTGCATTCTATAGTTTTTGAGTAATTTTAACGATAAATTATTGGATGTAAAGCATAAATTTACTCTTTATTTAAGATCATCAAATTTAGTAAGATCAAGTTCTTAAAGGATTAAGATGTCTCTCCGATATCCAATAAAAATTTCTCAACAAATATCCAAACAACACATACAATTGATATTTAATAGATATCAATGATATCCTTTAGATATCAATGCTGCAGGTTGGATATTTCATGTGGATATCTGTCAGATGTTTCTTGGATATACAGCTTATGTCCCAACATCCAAATATCTGCGGGGGGAGTTGTTTTCGACAATGTAAACCTTCATCTATGAAAAGGTACCCCAACATAGAATAGAGTTAACATGTCTTTTATACTATANCCTTTCTTTTTTTTTTTTTTTTTTTTTGTAGTGGTAGACACACTACATATCTGTTAAACTTCACACGTGCAATTTTTGGATTTCCGACGGATATTCAGATATTTTGGAGATCTCTGTTAGATTTGAGAATATCCAGGTTTTCAAGACATAACTCAAAGATGTTTTTGATGTTATTTGTGTGGGAATATTTGCCATTATAAATCTTCATTTATTTATTTTGAGTATAACTCACATCTCATGTATTTTGTTTCAGATTTTGGGATCTCAGGTACGAGGGCGGAGGGTTCATCAGGTAAGAACTTTTTTTCTTTGGCCGATTTTTAAAATTTTAAGCCATCCAAGTGCGGGCTCAAAATAGAGTTTTATATTATACCGTCCGTTCTAACTACAATTCACAATAGCATATTAAATTGTTATCGATCGAGACACATTTAGTGTCCAACAAAAAGAAATGAAATCTTTTGATTTAAAACACATATCCAGAGGGACTTAATGTTTCGAACCAAGTTTTTGGGAAGAAAATGAAGTCATTATTCATGGAAGGGCATTAACAGAACAGTGTCGGAGTAATTTTTAACTCGTTATAAGCATCCAATTTCTTTCATATTAACATTTTGGACTATGACTCGTCGTGCATATTATCGCGATCTTTTACTGAAACTTGTCTAAATCTTATAAAATAATAGTCAGGACTGAACCATTTATTGAATTAACCCATTTGAGCTGGAATTTTTTTATATGATGTGACGCAAAAAAAAAAAGTATTTAAGTAACTTAAAGTTAATTAACATTCTGAATTATGTAGAGAAACATAGCTTAACTTCAGTGCTAAGTATAAAACAATGTACTGAAGCATCGCGATGACGATACATCATGATGCAAAAATCTTAACATGGCTCAGCACTAAGTCACTATTCCATGCTTCCGAAATTGTTTCCTTCGTTAAATCCGAGAAATAGAAGGGAGAAGAAAAAAAATGCTCTCTAAAAAGTATATTCATATATAGCATTGTATGAAGCTCGTTCTACTTTTGAAATGTGTATTTTGTTCCAGAAGAATGCCGTTTCATATTTCGCAGTGAAGACAGGGGTAATGGAACTTTCAATTCACCGAATTATCCCGGGTTCTACCCCAGAGACACGGAATGCCACTACACATTCATTGGAAAAGACAAAGAGAGAGTCCACATTACTTTCGCATACTTTGATGTAGATGGTATACCTCCGTAAGTACGCTTGCTTCTTATCAATTACCTATCACTTTCTTTTTCTGGGTTGGGGTTTTGGACGTCCTGAACTGGTTTTAGACAGGACACATGGGTTTTACTGGCTTAAAGTGTCCAAAACCTTGAACATTTTTAAAAGGTAAAAATTTTATATGTGTGACCATTGTACACATAATTACATATATTAATAATTACTTTATATTAAGTAAATATATTAATAAATACTTTTACTTTAAATTATTAAAGGAAAATAATATACTGTAATATAACAGGAAAATATTAATAACTTTTGAAGTTGCACAATTCTCCTAATAACAAAAGTGAATACCTTATCCTTTAAACATACTTTTAATACTGATAAATTATGTTTTTGCATAAGGGTAAATGATACAATATTTAAAATAATAATAAACTTTTTTAATAGAGCATAAACTTGTCTTCATTTTGTTTCTTGTTCCAAAACTTCGCATTAATTTTTTAAAATTGTGACATAATTTGAACAAAAGGGTTTTGGATAGTTTTGGACTGGATTAATCCATTCTGACCTAAACCTTGCCAACTCTTTTTTTTTTCTTTTTTTTTGTCTATTTAGCTTTAATCTGTGGATCAAAATAAACTTCAAATCGGTAGATTGAATAAAGGTCAGATGTTGGAAATTTGTATTTTTCGGTAGTGGCGTCTTTTCAGCTTTGTTCATTAACCTTCTTTGAAGTTACCTCCAAAAGTATCACAGCTCCTTATTTTAAACAAATTTCTTTAATCCGTATCAACTTAAATCTGATTCGTAATCTAACTTAACAGCTTCCCTGATTATTCCGAGTTAACTCGGATTATGTATATATTATAAATAATTTTTTCCCGCGAAAACAACTCATACACAGCTGAATAAGTTAGTATGTTTTGTTTTATTACGTTTTTACTCGGTTGGAAGCAAAAAAAAGAAAAATAAAAAAATTATAATTTACAATAATTTGTGGTAATTGGAAGTTTGCCAAGTTTTGTTTGGGAGTTATGCTGCTTGATTGTGGTACTGCACACGTATTTTGTGTGATTGTATATACGATGGTTCCTGAATTTACACAGAAAAAAGAATACAAAAAAAATGGAATATCACTTCACAGGCATTTGGAAACTATCACTTTTGTGTTGTCCCTTGTTTTAAAAACTATCATACGAAGACTATAAGACTATTTAACTTTTTTCTTTTGTCCGAGATAACTAACTCATGATAGTTAACTGATGGCAAATTAAATGTTTTTTACACATTAAAAAAAATTAAAATTTCAACTTAAAACGTGTGTATTTATGTTTTGTTTTAGTTTCTTATATTTATTAATGAAATAAAAAAAAATATGCTGTTTTTTTGCTGGTAAGGTTAACTTTAAAAGACTAAGAATCAGGTGTTCAGGCTGAAATTTTCCGTCTCTCTCATGCTGTAGATTCAAACAAAAAACATTGTTTATTAATGAATGCTTTTTCTAACACCTTCTTTTCAATTCACACACAGAGAGTTTTTAGGACAGTTAGTAATTCAAAACTAAATTTCGTGAATACATACTTTCAACAATTCCCATTTTTTATATTTTTTACCCTAAATCCACTGTTATTTTGCGAAACCCAAACAGACAGTTGAATTTAAAGATGGAATCTAGTCTACTTCTGAATTTGTCTTTTGTGTAGGCTGAAAAGAACAAATAATATATAAAAAAAATTTTTTTTTAAATTCAATTCCTACTTAGGTCAACAAAGAAATTTTTTATTTTAGTTACTTTTCATTAAATAATTAAAAAAAAATTTCTCTCTCTTATAAAAATAAATTTAATGAATGAATTAATATTTGATAAAAACTGTTTTAACCTCAAGCGTTATCTACGTTATCTACCTCAAGCGTTCAAAGATAATGTATTTGAATTTGAGTGGATGAATAAAAAGTATTTTATGAACGATAGAAAATTCAAACATCGATATAGGGAGAGTGTGAACTAATTGTAGGAATTGGAAAAAAAAAAAGAAGAAAAAAAAGGCGCGGATATCACACAACTATAAAAGTATAAACTTGGTAATGTAGACCCCACGTGCTACCTCGTAATGTTCTTTATCGAATTTATCTCACCCAGCGAATATAAAATAATTAAATGTGTACAATAAACTATTTTTTTGTTCAAATACAGCTGGGAAATATAGGGAAAACGTAAACTAACAGTAGGAATTGAATAAAATATAGCTGAATTATGGTATAGTTGAAATGTGAATAAATTAGAATTGATAATACTTTTAATATTTCCTTATACAGTACAGAACCCGTTATCCGGAATTCAGAAAACCGAAAAACCGGAACGAAATTCGATAAATCCCCCCCTTTTTTTTAAACTTTTTTTTTCTCCTCATAAGATTTTAGGATTTTCCTTTCTTTTTTGAAAGATGTTTACCTTACCATCATTTTGGAAATAATCATTAGTATATTACTTTATCGTTTTTTCTTCTTTTCAAGATTATTTCCGAATTTTTTTTTTTTTTTAGTTGGGTTTAACAATAAAAAAACAACTTTTTGCAGCGATTCAGAAAACCGGAAAAATCAGTCATAGAGATGGTCCCGATCGTTCCGGATAATCGGTTCCCTACTGTTGTTGAATTTGGTTATTTTATTTTCAGTATGATGGGAACTTGGGGCATTTTTTTTTATAAACGTATAAAAAAATGTCATCTTTGTCATCTGGTGTCATCTTTGAGTGTTATCATCTCAGTGAAACTTTGGTTTACCTTAGAACATTTTAATCTTAGAAGCACTTAGCCTTGAAAGGGAGACACTTGAACTTTTAGTCGACTATTTTATTTATTCTATTGGGCTTATTTTAGTCTTTTTTATTTTTAATGTGATTTTTCATATTTTACCATTTGATGTTTTACCTGACCTTACTTTTATATGTTTTTACCTGTATTTTTGACACTTTTATTGTCGGTTGATTTTATCCACTTTGATGTTTTAAGGACTTTTAATCTTTATTCTGTTTTATTTTTATTTTACTTTTTCGATTTTGGGATTTTTCCTATGTGTTTTCATCTTTTTAATTTAGTAATTTTACTTTTCTGTAGTTTGGTAGTGTTTAGTCAAACGGGTGAAACCCTTATCCGCAAACTCCTTCGGGGGTAGATCGGTTACTATTGGTCTTATAAACGTATATCCTTTTATTAATTTGTTCAATATATAATTAAGAGGAAAAATGTTATGCACAATAAAACAAACTTATTTTTAGAAGAAAAAAAAATAAATCTATTCTAATGCAGTATTAAAGGATGTTCTATATTCTTTGGGGGGAAAAAAAACCCCACAGGTGCCTGAGTGAGACAGCGAGTGACTATGTAGAGTTCTCGAATTACAAGACAGTTGACAGAAAGCTTGCAAGACACTGTGGAATCCAGAAACCTAAACTGATTGAATCAGATGCAGATTTTTTCAGAGTCGTCTTCAGTTCGAACGACAAGTTCGATGCGACGGGATTCGAGGCATTCTATCAATTCCGTAAACAAGTGGGTGAGTGAAAATGAATTGCAATGTTCTATTTTCAGGGCACACATTTTCCTGGTATAGGGATGGGATTGGTCAAAAGGCAAAAAAGCTGAATTTCCATTTGAGTGCAATTGTTTAATAATGAATTCCAGAAAATTTAAGATAATAAATAACTATGTGTTGACATAAAATTGTGTGCTAATTTATTAATATATGATTACATCAATACTTAACATTTAGTAAAAAGTAAAATTACCAATTGAAAAAACAAAGCTAGAAATCATATTTTTCTTCAGTTTACATAAAGGAGACAATTATTACTTGAGAAACTGCCTGGTATAGCAAATTAAAACTACTGAGAACATTCCCTTTCTCTTAATAAATACTGTTCTGTGATTTATAACAAATATATCAGTCACATGACTTTTTAAATTATTTAGAAAAGAAAGTAAACTTTTACAATTGGAATCACTATGTTTATATTATAATCAAACCCTGTGAAACATATCAATAACTGTGAAGTAGAAACATATAGTAACTCTTTAGCATACAAAAATTGCTATTTCAGTTTGAAAAATTACATGAAAATCAACAACTGTTTAGATAATTATATTTCATCTGATAAGAATTTAGCATTTTATAGAAAGAAAAAGCAGCATTACTTTTTAAATTTAGGATTCTGGTGTTGAGTTAATTAACTCGTTTTCTAAAAAGAATTGAATCACTTTCTAAGTGATTGCTTTTATTTGCAATATCTTTTATGTTTGCTATATCTTTTTATTTTTTATTTTTACTTAATTTGCTGCAAATGCTTCATGTTTCACAAAAACAAGCTAAAAAATCCTTTAACAAGGTCAAATTGCTCGTAATGCAGCTTGTGAATGAGAGGGGAAAGAGATGGGTGATTAATTTAGTCATTAGCCCACCTTTTAACATCTTTTGACAAATCCTATATTTTCTTTCTTTACCTGTCTGTGTCACATTCTTCTTTGCAAGCACAGAATGTAAGTTATGAATATATATACTCTTCCAGTTTCGCTGATGTTGTAATGCCTATACATGCTAATAATTGTCGATAGAAACACAATCACCTTTATAACAACGAATTCAAGAAAAAAAACTTACTACTTACATTACAAGAATCGCGATAATTGATTTTAAAATCGCGCGTGAATGCAAATAGCGATCTTGGATTTTTAAAGTCGTGTAAATATGAATCACGATTATGGATTTTGAAATCAAGTGAATATGAAACTCGATATTCGATTTTAAAAGTTAGAAAATACAAATTGCGTTATAGAATTTTTAGATCGCGTAAATGCGAATCACGATGCATAATTTTTAGATCGTGTGAATCCCAATGCCTTATTTTAAAATCGCGTATAAATACGAAAATCAATGTTTGATATTATAACCGCGTTAACAAATCACGACATTCGATTTTAAACTCGCTTGAATATGAATCGCTACCTAGGTTTTTAAAAATGCGTAAATACAAATCGTGATATTGGATTTTTAAATCTCGTAAGGGGCCGTTCAAAAAGTCCGTACATCCCAAAGGGGGGGAGGGGATTTCCTATTTTGTACGATGGGGAGGGGGGAAGTATTATACAAAGTACGTACATTATAAGCATACACCAAAGATAAAAGTTAGGTGTTATTGTTTAAATAATTTAAATGAGTAAATTATTTTAAATAAATATTTAATTTTATTTAAAACATAATTAGTTTAATTTTTATGAAAATAGGGGGTAGACTAATAAAATGTA